CAGCTCAGCTGACGAGGGCGAGCAGCTGACTCACAGGGGGCGGAGCCAGGAGCAGCGGCACCACACCTGATTGGTTAAAATCCTGCCCCAGGGCGCGCGGCGAACAGGGCGGGTGGAGGCAGTTCTCGCGGCGGTTGTGTTCGCGCGGCGGTTTGCACGGGCAGGCGGGGGGAGGGAGGGAGGGCAGTAGCGGTGTAAGTAGGGCCCGGTCCGGGAGCTCTGCTCTGGCTGCCCCGGCGGTGCCACCCAGACAGAGCCGATGAGAGGGGAGGCTGCAGTGCAGAGCTCGGGGTGTAGAGAGGAGAGTGCCTGCACTGGTCTGGTGAGGGGAGGGTGCACAATGGGCAGGGCTGCACTCGGTGCTCCCTGGTGGAGGTCCTCCTGCAGCAGGGGCTGAGCTGCGGGATGCTAGCGGGGTGCTAGGCTAAAAGATGTCAGGGAAGCTGAGAGAAAGCAGGACTGCTTGCTCCTGGCCTTAACTGCAGGGGCTTCAAGCGTCCCCTGTAGCTCATGGAGGAAGAAGGAGGCCGTTAACCTGGGAAGCTGGAAAATAGTAACAAAACAGAACAAAAAACAACAAAAAAAAGGAGGAAGAGGACAATTAAAAGCAAGGGGTTTCCTCCTAAATCTGATATCCCTGCCCAGAACCGCTTTGCTGTCCTGCAGGGGACTGAGGAGGAAACGCACTCGCACCAGAAACAGCCAGCTGATGCACTGCTAAAGAAGATTACTACTGGTGCCGCAAGAAAAAAGCGCCTGGTCATAGCAGTAGGGGACTCTACTTTGAAAGGCACAGAAGCACTCATCTGTCAGCCTGACCCAGTCTCAAGGGAGGTGTGTTGCCTACCTGGGGCACGGATCAGGGATGTTGCAGAGAGGCTGCCTGCTCTAGTAAGTCCCACTGACTGTTACCCACTTCTGGTGATCCATGTGGGTGCTAGGGATACAGATAGTAGTAGACTGGGGAACATAAAGAAGGACTACAGAGCCCTGGGAGAGGTGGTTAGGGGTGCTGGAGCTCAGATAGTCTTTTCATCAATTCTCCAGGATACAGGGGAGGACCTAAAAAAAGCTAGGAGGGTTGGCCAGGTTAATAAATGGTTAGAACAGTGGTGTCATAGTCAGGGGTTTGGGTGTCTTGAACATATGACCCAACTTTGTAGGCCAGGTCTACAGGGGGCTGGTGGAGCTGCTGCTGAAGGAGGGGAAGAGTGGTTTTGGTAGGAGGCTTACCAGACTGGTCAAGGAGGCTTTAAACCAGATGTGTTGGGGGAGGGGGGCATCATTCCATCCCAACACACCCAGTCAGTTGCCAGCACCTATAATAAATGCTCAGAGCAATGTAGAGATGTTCCAGTGGCTCCAGCCAATGAGCCGGCTTCATTTGGAGCTCGGCTCAGATGCCTCTATACAAATGCCCGTAGCATGGGGAACAAACGAGGAATTAGAGATGTGTGCATGTCTATGGGGGTATGATATAACAGGCGTCACAGAAACATGGTGGGATGGCTCCTATGACTGGAGTGTTGGAATGGAAGGTTACAGGCTCTTTAGAAAAGACAGGCCTGGTGGTCAGGGAGGGGGAGTTGCCCTTTATGTTAGGGATAGGCTGGAGAGTATGGAACTCTGTCTGGAGACAGGTGAGCAGTCAATAGAGAGTTTGTGGGTCAGGGTTAAAGGGAAAACAGTGATGGGAGACATTACTGTGGGGATCTGTTACAGACCGCCTGATCAAGAGGAACCTGCAGATGAAGCACTCTACAGACAGATAGGAAAAGGCTCACCCTTGCAGGCCCTTATTCTCATGGGGGACTTCAACCATTGTGACATCTGCTGGAGGGACAGTACGGCCTGGCACAGGCGATCCAGGAGGTTCCTCGATTGTGTGGAAGACAACTTCCTTCTGCAAGTGATAGAGGAGCCGACAGGGAGAGGTGCCATGCTTGATCTCGTGCTCACCAACAGGGAAGGGCTGGTTGGAAATGTGACGCTCCAGCGCAGCCTTGGTTGCAGTGATCATGAGATGGTCAAATTTGAGATCCTCAGGACAGTGAGAAGAACGTGCAGCAAGCTCACTGCCCTGGACTTCAAAAGAGCAGACTTTGGCCTCTTCAGGAACCTGCTTAGTAAGGTTCCATGGGATATAGCCCTAGTGGGCAGGGTGCTCAAGACTGTTGGTTGATATTCAAGGATCACCTGCTACAAGCTCAGGAGTGTTGCATTCCAACGAGAAGAAAGTGCAGCAGGAGGACCAGGAGACCTCCTTGGATGGGTAAAGAGCCACTGAGGAAAATTCAAAGGAAAAAAGAGGCTTATAAAAGGTGGAAGCAAGGACAGGTGGCCTGGGAAGAGTACAGGGATGTTGTCTGGGAAGCTAGGGACCAGGTTAGGAAAGCTAAGGCCCAGTTAGAAGTAAACTTGGCTAGGGATGTTAAGGACAACAGGAAGGGATTCTATAGGTATGTAGCGAATAAAAAACAGACTAGGGACAATGTAGGCCTCCTCCAGAAGCTCTCAGGAGACCTGGCTATCCAGGATTTGGAGAAGGCTGAGGTTCTGAATGACTTCTTTGCCTCGGTCTTCACTGGCAAAGCCCCTGACCACACCACCCAAGTCTTGAAAGGCAGATGCAGGGACTGTGAGAATGAAGACCTTGGGCCCACTGTAGGAGAGAATCTGGTTTGAGACCATCTTAAAAACCTGAATGTGCACAAGAGCATGGGACCTGATGAAATCTATCTGTGGGACCTGAACGAGCTGGCAAATGAAGTTGCTAAGCCACTGTCCATTATATTTGAAAAATCATGGCAGTCAGGTGAAGTTCCCGATGACTGGAAAAAGGGAAATATAACCCCCATTTTCAAGAAGGGGAAAATGGATGACCTGGGGAATTACAGACCAGTCAGTCTCACCTCTGTGCCTGGACATCTTGGAGCAGATTCTCCTGGATGGCACGCTAAGGCACATGAAAAACAACAAGGTGCTTGGTGACAGCCAGCACGGCTTCACTAAGGGGAAATCCTGCCTGGCCAATTTGGTGGCCTTCTATGATGGGGCTACAGAACTGATGGACAGGGGTAGAGCAGTTGATATCATCTACCTGGACTTGTGCAAGTGTTCGACACTGTCCCACACGACATCCTTGTCTCTAAATTGGAGAGACATCAATTTGATGGATGGACCACTCAGTGGATAAAGAACTGGCTGGATGGCCGCACACAAAGAGTTGTGGTCAATGTCCAGCTGGAGACCAGTAACGAGTGGCGTCCCTCAGGGATTGGTGTTGGGACCGGTCTTGTTCAACATCTTTGTCGCTGACATGGACAGTGGGATTGAGTGCGCCCTCAGCAAGTTTGCCGATGACACCAAGCTGTGCGGTTCGGTTGATACGCTGGAGGGAAGGAATGCCATCCAGAGGGACCTCGACACGCTTGTGAGGTGGGCTGATGCCAACCCTATGAAGTTTAACCATGCCAAGTGCAAGGTCGGGTGGGGCAATCCCAGGCACAGCTACAGGTTGGGCAGAGAAGAGATTCAGAGCAGCCCTGCAGAGAAGGACTTGGGGGTGTTGGTTGATGAGAAAATGAACATGACCAGGTTTCAGTGTGCGCTCGCAGCCCAGAAAGCCAACCGTATCCTGGGCTGCATCAAAAGGAGCGTGACCAGCAGGTTGAAGGAGGTGATCCTGCCCCTCTACTCTGCTCTTGTGAGACCTCACCTGGAGTATTGTGTGCAGTTCTGGTGTCCTCAACATAAAAAGGACATGGAACTGTTGGAATAAGTCCAGAGGACGGCAACAAGGATGATCAGGGGACTGGAGCACCTCCCGTAAGAACACAGGCTGAAAAAGTTGGGGCTGTTCAGCTTGGAGAAGAGAAGGCTGCATGGAGACCTCATAGCAGCCTTCCAGTATCTGAAGGGGGCCTATAGGGATGCTGGGGATGGACTCTTCATTAGAGACTGTAGTGATAGGACAAGGGGTAACGAGTTAAAACTTAAGCAGGGGAAGTTTAGATTGGATATAAGGAGGAAATTCTTTCCTGTTAGGGTGGTGAGGCACTAAAATGGGTTGCTGTGGGAGGTTGTGAATGCTCCATCCCTGGCAGTGGTCAAGACCAGGCTGGACAAGGCCTTGGGTGATATGATTTAGCGTAAGGTGTCCTTGCCCATGGCAGGGAGGTTGGAACTAGATGATCTTAAGGTCCTTTCCAACCCTTACTATTCTATGATTCTAACTGGAATCTGACAGAAGTTGTAGTCTTACTGAAACCTTTTTAAGGTAAAATACAGTTGCCACTTTCAGACCAGGTGGTATGCATGGAATCTACTCCACCATGGTTCTCTAGGCAACACAACCTGCTGTCCTAGAGGAGCAATGGAGGGTGGAGTGGAGTGGAGACACCGCAGCCAGGTTCTGTTGTGCTCCCTGCAGGGCTGGGAACTTGATGATACCATACACCTGATAAGCCAAACAGCAGCTGTCAAATGGGAAATATAAGAGAATACGTCCATTGCAGAGCCATCAACTGTGAAAAAATAATTTTCCTTAGGAGAACCTTGCTCATTATAATTTCATAATAGTAACACACACCTCCATCCCAAAGTTACCCAACTCCAAGGTAAGAACACCCCTCACTGAGCATGTGCTTTATATATTTATTGGCTATATCTCGAGACAACTTTACACCAATCAATAATAAACGAATGTAGGACTAGAGTCACTCAAGATCCACCTGAGAGTAACAAAAAGTATAAAAGTGAATGGGGGGGGTGGGGAGACAGACATAAGGAAAACATCATGACTTCTGGGATCAGTCAGGCTGAACCTGTCTTCTACCCCATAGGGACTCCTATAGGTTAAGAACTTTATATCACACACATTAGATAACTAACTAACCCGAGCTGTTATTAGTGCTTACAGTCTGGTTGTCTATCAATTCAAGCTGTTTTTTCCAGACAGCCACTATCACTGCCAATCATGAATGTTAACATGTCACAATTTTACATTAATAGAGAGTATTATTCTTTAAACTCTTAATATTACTTGTTTGTGAAACAGGTTGGACCGGTGGGATGAGGCAACAGTATGAGATTCAACAAGGCTCACTACTGATGACGCTGTCTACAGCCTGCTTGTGCTTGTAGACTCGGAATGTACTGGTGGCTCAGGAAAAGGAACTGTAAGGAGGACAAAGACGCTGAGAGTCAGAGAGATTTTCAGATATATTTTTCAAAGAGCATACAACATTCAGGGCAGAAACTGCACTACGAGAGTGAGGTGGTGTTGTGGCTGGTGGACAAGCTCCTCCATGCTTCCCGAGAGCAATTGTCGAAGAGTTTCTTCCCAGTGCTGGAACAAGCCATCGGGGTGGACAGCACCTTTGAAAGCCAGAGTCCCCATGAAGATGATGCTGTCTGCAGCCTGCTTGTGCCTCTGGAGCCCCCCCATCAGCACACCTTCCACTTGGAGGTGGGCATCACGGGACAGGTGCTGGCGACAGACTCCTGCATCCATGTGGAGCAGGTGTCCACATGTATGATGGATCCGGTAGCGCAGCCAAGTAGTTTCTTCCCGGCGCTAGAAGCAGCCATCGGGGTGGGCAGTGCCTTTGAATGCTGGAGGCCCCATGAAGATGACACTGTCTACCATCTGCTTGTGCCCCTGAAGTCCCCCCCGTGGGCACGCCTTCCACCTGGAGGTGGGCACTGTGGGCCAGATGCTGGCGGACTCCTGCATCCGTGTGGAACTGGTGTGCACATGCAAGACTGAGGAGACAGTGGGGGACATGCTGTGCTTCCTTCATCACCCTGAGGAGGCGCTGAGGAAGAATCAGAAGCCCAGCCTCCTACACACCCTCTGCACCGGCTCCTACCTAGATGTGCAGCAGACTGCCCTATGGTTTCAGGACTTTGTGACGCCAGCCTGGGAGTTTGTGCCTCAGTCACATCACTACAGGATGAAGGTGCTGCCCTCCAGCCGCTCCTGCAAGCTGCAGCTGACACATGTCTCTGGGAGAACCTTGCTCGTCGAGATGATGCTTGGCGTGCAGCAAGGCGACTCAGACATCTTTGTGAGCAGCCAGGCTACAGAGGCTGTCTGCACCCCAAGAACAACACGGGCACTGAGCTTCAGTGTGGCAGAGGCAGAGTTCTTCTGGCTGATGGCCAAGCAGGTCCCAAGTGACAGCTGCCACCTCAGCTGCCTGCAGCTCTGCACCCACTTCCTGGTGGGCACTGCCCTTTCTTCCCATATCTTGGGGACAGTGGTGATGCACCTCCTGACTACCATGCCCCTGGCAGGCTGGCACAGGAGCTGTTTCCCAGAACAGTTGGACGAAATCATGTGGTACCTGGACCTTTGCTTGGAGAAGAGATGCCTTGACCACTTCTTTGTTGACAATGATGACCTGTGTGAGGAGATAACCTTGCCCCAAGCCTTGCAAAGAGCTGTACCACTCAACCTCTTGCAGCACCTGGTGTACGATCCAGCTGCCCACAAGCGGGCAATGCGTGAGCTGAAGGAGCTGAAAAGTCTGCTTTCAATACAGCTCTTCTACAGGCACTGAAAGCAGCCTTCCTGCACAGGGCTATGTTTGCAGAGTTCACATCTGAGGGCAGATGACTATCTCATACAGGAGGGAAAGTACAGAATGGTAGGACACTGGAGGAAAGGAAGAACCCTGTGTTCCCCATGCAAAGATGCCAGTAAATCTCCTGCGTAACACACAAACAAGCACTGGGTCTTTGAGGGTGTGGGCTATGGAAAGGGCGCCAGGGGCTTTGCTTGATGGTCAGCTCCATAGGAGTCAGCAGTGTGCCCTGGAGGCCAAATGGCCCACTGTCTCCTGGAGCACATTAGGCACAGTATGGGGGGCCAGCCGACAGAAGGGGCTGAGTGGCTCTGCTCAGCACTGCTGCGGCCTCGCCCCGAGTACTGTGGGCAGCTTTGGGCTCCACAAGCGAAGGACCTAAGGATATTACTTAGTACCTGGTCCTGCACTTGGGTGATGACAGAGGGGCAGCGTGCTAGTGAGAACCTTCAGCTGGTGGCTCCAAGACATGTTAGTCACACTGGAACACACTTGAAATCTCATGAAGAAGAGGCTCCTGATGTAATACAAGCCAACAGGGAACACACCAGTGAAACACTCTGAAGGAATGAAGAACTGTTCCCCTAAGAAAGTGACAAGACTGACAGCCCAGCTGAAATGCCTCTACACCAATGCAAGCAGCATGGGCAAGAAACAGGAGGAGTTGGAAGAGACCATAAAGCTAGAAAGCTATGACGTGGTGGCCATTACTGAAACATGACAGCTTCACGGAGCAGGGATAAGCACCTGGCCAGAAATGTTGCAGCGATATGAAAGGGAAATTCAAACGTCAGCATCAAGTCCTTAGACACCTTTGAGAGAGTTTCCTGTTTTTCCAGTCTGTTAGGGCCAGGCGGTGAGCTCATGCAGAGCTTGCTCGGACCTTATTTACATGAGTAGCTTGCAGTGCGGACAGCGTGTATGCTATCAGCACCTAGCTGCTGCAAATTACCAGCAGAATCTTACAGCCGAAACCCACGGAAAAGCAGGCTTTTTGTTTCAAATTACGTGCCAAAAAATGGCACATGTCAGCTTCTTTAGCTTCCAGAAGATGGCGCTCGCCATCCTCTGAGCATCATCCTGCCTGTTTCGGTGGACATCTGCAGCGCCCAAGGCTGCTCGCTTATCACGCTCAGTAAGACTTTGATACAGAGCTTGTTTTCACGTGATGGTCATTCCCTACTCCACAAACCACTGTGCTGTCTTTGCATGTGTTGCTGCTTTGGAGCTGGGCTGAGCAAAGATGGTTCTGTCAGCCCAAAGAGAGATTTAAGTGAATTTTTGAGGAATTTCTTTATCACCATCCTGTGTAAATAGAGATTATAGGTTTTTCTTATAGCGGGGAGCTGCTTCTGCAAACAGAAGGGAATGCAGTGCTAGGCAGTATTACGTAGCCAGCTTCAAAGAACACTGCTACAAAACGTGGGGAAGTGGACCCAGCGTTGCATGCCGGTAAAGTGAGAATGGCAGTGCTGCTCTGCCTGCAGTGCATTCTCCCAGTGGCAATGCCTTGTGGACCAGCAAGGCACCAAGCCCACATTGTTGAGCCTCTCATCAGCGATGATGTGCTCCTTGCAGGGCATTGTTTGTCCCTTAGGTGAAGGTATCTGTAGGCAGTGGAGTTCAGAAGCCCTGAGGAGGTCCCTAATATACAGATGAGATCAAACAGGAGCTCAAGATGTGCTGGAAGTTTAGTATATTTGAAGTGTCAGTTCTGATTGCCTTCTGAGATAAACTGATTTTATTTGAGCGAATGGCTAATTCTGTGCACCTGGCTTTGAATTCTGATCGGAAAAGGTGAGTTCTGTGTGACATAGGAGAGCATGTTCCTGTATTTCATAGTTGTGTTCTTCCTTGCAAGCAGTCCTTGAAAAGCATACGGAGCAGAGTAAAATAAAATAGTGTTCGTAACTGGTAATGAAAAACTACTCCTACCCCAAAAGAGAGAACAGTAACTTTTTCCACAGTTTGAGGTGTAGGCATTTGACAGAGCAGGTCCTGCTATGTGCTTGGATGGCACCCAGCCCACGTGTCATGGCTGTTTACCCTGTAAATACTGATTTCCCAATGGCAACAACTGCTGTACAGTACAGCCACAGTTAAAGAACTGCTGTGGAGAAAAACACCAAAACCAAAAAACTCAACCCAAAACCACACACGTCTCACTTCTGCAGCATTCCTGAGACAAGGCTCTATTTTTACCGTCTGCAAAACCAGCTACATCTGCTGTTATAACTGGAATCCTGACTCCCTCATTACAACCTCCATCAGAGAAGCAAGCCAACTTCTCTGGGATATAATTTAAATTCTACCCAGTTTCATGGCTTTCCCAAGAAAAAGGTAACACCCTGGTGCATGAAGTTGGATGAGAGTCTAGCCTGGCTCAGCTGCTGCAAGAGGACCCACTGCATCCATAACTTAAGGTCTCTCTGGGCCATAGGCATCCATTGCTGCCATGGATGACACCATTAAAAACCATCTCCCTCATTTTAGACTCTTCCAGCACACAGCAGGTTTGAAATAATGAGCTTTGTCCCTCCACCTGCCTCCTGTGACCTTGGGTGCTGGGCAAAAGCTGTCCTCCTTCAGCACTCTGGCCACGAAGGGAGTGGAATCTCTTGCACAGCTCCCAGCAAGTCTGCCAGAAATGCCTTTCTTTCTTCACCCCATCTGCCAGATCTATTGTGTTGCAAAGCTGCTCCCAAAACACCTTGCAGACCAGGGCTGGATACCACTGCTGGCTCAGTCACCTGGCGTTTTCTTCAACTGGTGAGAAAAGCTTCAAAATCCCCAAGAGGAAGGCAGAGCTCTGAGTCAGACTTAAGACCAAGTCCTCTGCCTGCTGAATAAGGGACACATCAATTTACAGTGAAAAACTGCAACAGCTCTCTATGGTCCCCTCTTACCACCCATGGGAGCTTGCTCTCCTGCCAAGGTGTCCTAACATCAAATATGTAATGAAGCATATGCTACAAGCATGTTTTGTAGTGTATTTTTTTCAGGAAGATAATTTCTGCACCCTCTGACTTCAAAGGAAAATACCTGATATTAGGAAAATAAGGCCAATGCTGGGCTTTGCTGGTCCAATGAGAGCAGGAGAAATGTTTCTCAGTTCTGTTGCATCTGTTAATGGAATTCAATTAAGCTGCCAGAAGTGATAAGCATTTAGAGGCACATAAGCCAACACTCCTCACTACCAGACAAAATCTTTGTCATGTCAGTGGCCATAAATCACAATGACTGTATTTTGGAAGTGTTACGCACTGCAACTCATCACCAGGGCTTAATTCAGCTTCCCTCAGGGCACCATTGTACCTGGTAGGTACCAGGTATTGTTGGTACACAAGAAAGGAGTATTTGGGGGTATACCAACTATGTCTGCTTTGATCAAATTAAAAAAAAAAAAGAATAAAGTTTCCTTCTGAAATGGATTGAAGGTTGCAAGTGGGAGGCTGGCTGAAAATCAAAGTTTCTATTCCTGTGAAAAAGTCAGGTTCTTTAAACCCTTGGTTTGATACCAAATCGGGGCAAGAAAAGTGAAAATATGCCTATTTTCAACAGAGCAGTATTGTCACAAAGTTCTGGGCATGTTTAAGCCTTCCAACCCTGCTCAGTTTGCAGCATATAGGCTGTTCATTGCAATATTGGTCCCGAGGGGCTTTTGCCCTTGTTTTTTTGTCCAGGCTTATGCAGTATCTCATACAATGTACCCAAATAAAAGGCAACTCAGATGGAGACTGCTTAACATCAAACTCACAGCAAGCTAAAAGCAACTGGCCAAACTGAAATGATGAAGCCTGAAATGACCCAATGGCGAAAAAAAGTTTTATGTTCAGGTTAAGATAAGGAATAGGAAAATGCCAGCAAAAGTGGCACCATCCCATAGGATATATCTGTTTGCAGCAACAGGCATTTCATAGAATCACAGAACGGTTGGGGTTTGAAGGGAGCACCAAGGGTCCTCTAGTCCAACCTTCCTGCTCAAGCAGGGTCACCTAGAGCACATTACTCATGATTGTGTCCAGACAGCTCTTGAATATCTCCAGGAAAGGACACTCCACAACCTCTCTGGGTAACCTTATTCCAATGCTCAGTCACCCTCACAGTAAAGAAGCTCATCCTCATGTTCACATGTTTTAGTTTGTGCCCATTGCCCCTCCTCCTGTCACCTGGTACCACAGAGAAGAGCCTAGCCCCATCCTCCTGACACCCTCTCTTCAGATATTATACACATTCATCAGTTTCCCCCTGAGCCTTCTCTTCTCTAGGCTGAACAGATCCAGCTCCCTCAGCCTTTCCTTATATGAGAGATGCTCCAGATCCTTAATAATTCTAGTAGCCCTTCACGGGACTTGCTCCAGCAGCTCCATGTCTCTCTTGTACTGGGGAGCCCAAAACTGGACACAGTACTTCAGCTGAGGCCTCACCACATCTGAGTAGAGAGGGAGAATTATCTCCGTCAACCTGCTGATAATGCTCATCCTAATGCACCCCAGGATACAGTTGGTCTTCTTAGCCCCAAGGGCATGTTGCTGGCTCACGGACAACTTGCTGTCCATCAGTACCCTCAGGTCCCTCGCTACAGAGCTGCTTTCCAGCAGGACAGGCCACAGCCTGTACTGGTGCATGGGGTTATTCCTCCCCAGACGGAGGACCCTGCACTGGCCTCTGCTGAGTCTTAAAAGGTTCTTTGCTGAGAACCGTGGGCAGCTTTGGGCTCCACAAGGGGGGAAGGACCTAAGGATGTTACTCAGTACCGGGTCCTGCAGCTGGGTAACGACAACCCCATGCAGCGGGACAGGTGTGGGGAAGCTTGGCTGGAAGGGGCCACAGAAGGATAAAGGCTGGGGCTGGTGAGCCTGCGATGCGCCGCGGTGCCTGTGACAGCACTGGGGACGTGTCACAATGGGGGATGGATATGAGGGTGCCAGCAGGCAGCATTGGCCCAGTACAGCCTGGGACAGCAGTGAGTGCGCACACAGGGGGGAGGCTGGGCTGGACAAGGGCCGGGGCAGAAACCTGGGCCCCCGGGGGTGGGTGCTCACCCTGCATCGAGGCCCTGGCTGCGAGCGCCTTGGGCAGGGCACGCTGCTGCTGGCACCGGGCCTGGGTGCAGCCCTTGCTGCCTCCCAGCTGCCTCGTTCCCTCTCCTGCCTGTCCCCAGCTCCCTGCAGCTCCCGTCCCCACTCCCCATGCTGCCGCATCCCTCCCTGCCTCTCTCCTTCCCTCCCTCCCTCCCAGCCCCACTGAATGCCTTCTCTCTGCTGCAGGCCATGGCTGTCACAAACCTCTTTGTGTGGGTACTGCAAATTCTCATCCTGAAGGTGCCCGTGGTCACTGGTGAGCCAGAGGGAACCACACCTGACCGCATGCAGCAGAGTTTGGGGCTGCTGAACCAGGAGCCGGTTTCGCTGCTGCAGGAGGTGGAGCACCTGGGCCAAGAGAAGAGCAAGGGGCAGAGTTACGTGGTCTGGAGAACCCTGCTCTTTGCCTTGCAGCATTGGCAATTGGGTTGGATTGCTGGCGTCCTGCTCGTCCTGAGTGTTGGACTGTACTGGTGGCTCAGGAAAAGGAGCCATGAGGAGGACAGCAGCGGTGATGGGGAGAGCTCTAGCTCTGAGGAGGAAGAGCAGGAGGAGGCAGAGCAGGAGGAAGCAGAGGAGGAGGAGGCAGAGAGTGAAGGAGAGAATGCTGATGCTGAGAGAGATGTGGGCAGTTATTTTGCAAGGCGCATCAGGTGGTCAGTGCGGAAACTGCACTACGAGAGCGATTTGGTGTTCCTGCTGGTGGGTAGCCTCATCCATGCTTGTCGACAGCTCTTGTCAAGCAGTTTCCTCCCGGTGCTAGAAGCACCCGTCGGGGTGGGCAGTGCCTTTGAATGCTGGAGTCCCCATGAAGATGACACTGTCTACCATCTGCTTGTGCCCCTGAAGCCCCCCCGTGGGCACGCCTTCCACCTGGAGGTGGGCACTGTGGGCCAGATGCTGGCGGACTCCTGCATCCGTGTGGAACTGGTGTGCACATGCAAGACTGAGGAGACAGTGGGGGACATGCTGTGCTTCCTTCATCACCCTGAGGAGGCGCTGAGGAAGAATCAGAAGCCCAGCCTCCTACACACCCTCTGCACCGGCTCCTACCTAGATGTGCAGCGGACTGCCCTATGGTTTCAGGACTTTGTGACACCAGCCTGGGAGTTTGTGCCTCAGTCACATCACTACAGGATGAAGGTGCTGCCCTCCAGCCGCTCCTGCAAGCTGCAGCTGACACATGTCTCTGGGAGAACCTTGCTTGTCGAGATGATGCTTGGCGTGCAGCAAGGCGACTCAGACATCTTTGTGAGCAGCCAGGCTACAGAGGCTGTCTTCACCCCAAGCACAACATGGTCACTGAGCTTCAGTGTGGCAGAGGCAAAGTTCTTCTGGTTGATGGCCAGGGAGGTCCCACATGACAGCTTCCACCTCAACTGCCTGCAACTCTGCGCCCGTATGCTGACGGGCACAGGATTTTCCAGCTATGTCTTTAAGACAGTGGTGATGCACCTCCTGACTACCATGCCCCTGGCAGGCTGGTGTAGGACCGATTTCCTTCTGCGGCTGGAAGACATCATGCGGTACCTTCGTTGCTGCCTGGAGGAGAAACGACTCAACCACTTCTTCTTTGGTAATGAGACCTTTCCGGAAGAGATCATCTTGCCTGCAGCCTTGCAAAGAGCTGAGCCACTCAACCTCTTGCAGAACTTGGCACAGGATCTGGCTGCTCATGAGCAGGCAATGAGTGAGTTCAGGGAGCTGCAGTTTCGGCTTAGAAGAGAGCTCTTCAACTGGCACTGAAAGTGGTTTTCATGCAGAAAGCTGTATTTGCAGAGTTCACAGCCGAGAACAGATGACCACCTCATACAGGAGGCAAATAAAGGACAGAATGTAGGACACTGCAAAGAAAAGAACAATCCCATGCAACTGAGCTCTGCCAAGAGCCTTTTTCTCTCGTTTTTTGGGGTAGCAACAAAGATGACTTTCTCTTTGCTTTCTCCTCTCACTGGCTGCAGCCAGAATGTCATTTCACATAGGCCCAGATACTATTGCTGGCAGCTCTGGCTGTATAGGAACCAAGCAAGAGGCACCGTTGACCACTATCCTCTGGATGCAGCCATCCAGCCAATTCCTCATCCACCGGACAGTCCACCCATCACATCTGTATCTCTCCAATTTAGAGAAGGATTGTATCAAAGGCTTTACAGAAGTCCACATAGACAACATCCGTAGGCCTTCCTTTGTCCACTGATGTAGTAACTCCATCATATAAGGACACTAGGTAGGTCAAGCAGGACTTGCCCTTGGTGAAACTGTGCTGGCTGTCTTGAATCACCTCCCTGTCCTCCGTGTGTCTTAGCATAGCTCCTAGAAGGATCTGTTTCATGCTCTTCGCAGGCACAGAGGTGAGACTGACAGGTTTGTAGTTCCCAGGATCCTCCTTTCTACCTTTTTTAAAACTGGTTGTGATATTGGCCTTTTTCCAGTCACCAGGGACCTCACCTGACAGCGGTGACTTCTCAAATATCACGGAGAGTGGTTGACAACTACATCAGCCAATTCCCTCAGGACTCTGGGATGGATCTCATCAGGTCCTATAGACTTATGTATGTTCAGGTTCCTCAAAAGGTCACAAACCTGATCTTCACTTACAGTGAAAGGGATCTTGCTCTCCAAGTTCATGCCTTGCAGTTCATCCACTCTAAAGGTGTGGGGAGAGAGCCTGCCATTGAAGACTGAGGCAAAAACATTGTTGAATACCTCAGCCTTCTCCTTGTCCATTGTTACCAGTTCACCAGTCTTGCTCATCGGGGGGGCACCCTTTCTTTGACCTTCCTGTGCTGGTTGACATACCTGTAGAAGCCCTTATTATTATTCTTTGCATCCCTTGCCAAGTTAAACTCCAGCTGGGTCTTGGCCTTCCTCTGCACAAGCAGGCAGCATCCCTATACTCTTCCCAGAATACCTGTCCCTTCTTCTGCTGCCTGTGAATTTCCATCTTGCCCTTTAGTTTGACCAGCAGGTCTTGACTCAGGCATGCTGGCCTCTTGCCTTCCTTACTCCATTTCTTACACCCAGGGATTGTGAGCTCTTGTGCTTTATGGAAAGCATCCTTAAAGATCTGCTAGCTCTGTTCTGCTCCCTTGTCCATGGGGGCAGTTTCCCAGTTAGTCCTACTGACTAAGTAATTCAAGAACTGGAAGCTGGCTTTTGAAGCTGGAAAGTTCTTGGCTGCAAACTCCACAAGAGCAGGATCACTGCAGCCCAGGCTGCAGGTGAGCTCACCTGCATTGGTGACCATCAGGTCCAGTATCACATTCTCCCTGGTAAGGCTTTCTATAACCTGGCTGAAGAACTTCTCCTGAATGCACTCCAGGAGTCTCCTGGATTGCCTACAGCTCATCGTGCTGCTTTTCCAGCAGATGTCTTTGTTCATGAGTGTCCTGGATTCAGCAGTGGCAGTCGTGTTTCTCCTTCGTGGTAGCTGGTGCAGCATTGTGTTTTGACTTCCAGTCTGGGAACAGTGCTGGTGATACCAGTGTTTTCGGCTGCTGCTAAGTGATGTTTCCCCTGACCAAGGACTTTGTGAGGCTCATGCTCTGCCAGGGAGGAGGGGAAGCCGTGAGGAAGCAGAGATGGGGCGCCTGACCCAGGCTAGCCAGGGAGGTATTCCATACCACAGCACGTCATGCCCGGGGTGGGGGGTAACTGGGAGTTACCCGGAAGGACACAGGCTTCCGGGTGGGACTCGTTTCTTGGCCGGTGGTATCGTATTCTCTTCCCTTGTTATTTTCTCTTATCGTTGTTGTAGTTGGTGGTAGCGGTGGTGATTTGTGTTGTACATTGGTTGCTGGACTGTTCTTGTCTCAACCCGTGGGAGTTACACTCTTTCGATCTGTAAGCGGCGAGGAGAAGCAGACAGGCCAACCCAATATGGATGATAAGCAACTTCTAGCTTATTTGTGACGCAGTTCACACATATATAGGAGTGGTATCCAGCCACTCCTTCTTGGCATAACAGTATTGGTTAGCCCCCACAGCTTCCTCCACATTCTCCTCCCAGGTCCCGTCTCTGTCCACCTGTGGGGGCCACCCCCTGCCTTGCTTGCAGAGTCCTCCAGAACTCTATGGTTCTGCTCTTAGAGTCATTCTGCAACAATTCCCCCCTTTTTCTTTGTGCAAGCAAGGCATTATGGGTTCTGTTCACCTGTTTTATCACACAACTATAAACAAGTTAATAGCTACGATGATTAACCTAACAATGATACAGAAGTGCAATACTTCAAACAGCAGTGTTTGACTCAACCTGTAATGCCCGGTGAAGACAACCATCTAGTTATTCTTGGGATATTGCTCATTTACTATTGCTGGGTAAGCTGAGCCAGGGTTCTCAGCTGTGCGTGCATCGAATTAGCATAATCAGAGAGACTCATACAACACATTCCATCAAACTCTTCACATCCATGTCCCTGTTCCAACAACAAAAGGTTCTGCAGTGTTGCATGTCTCACAGAGTCAACATTATAACAAATCAGAAATTGCCTTCGATGTAGAATTGTCTGCTTAGCAACTCAGCAACCCAGTCTGCTTAGTTGAGCCAAGGCCCCGGCTGAAGCACTTACAGTGATTTGGCATATTATGATTGGATACATGTTTTGAAGACCCTTAGTGACTAACATATAATTGGTTAAACACAGGTGTGAGAACTCAACCTTGAAAGCTTGCCAACAGTCCACAGTTCTCATTAACTTGGTGAATTCCAGCCTCTTATCTTCCTTGCTTAAGCTTCTTCAGGCCTCTCATGGCCTTGCTGTATCTTTCAGGACTATTCAAAGTTTATGTACCAATTATGCATTCTCCTGTGAGAACACTGTCTCCACATCTTCCCCCTTTTGTTTTATCCAGTAACAAGTTGCTACTACAGCAAGGCACACACAAATTTACATTAGCAGAGTAACTATTACAGGGTGCAGCAGCATGTTGAAGATGCTGATGGCAGTGAAGGACTAGCCAAAGAAATTTCTTACCAGTGGAATTCTCCCCCCCTCTTAAATTTGTTCCATCACCTGCTTTATAACACTACCATTGTATTAAAATTTTTCTAGCTTTTGCCTTAGCATTTTCTAGCAGCTACTGCAAATTTCCATACTCTTAACATCTCTTTTACAAGTGACAAATCTATACAATACAAGGTGCAGTTTCTTATTAGCAACTAGCTAGTAAATACAGGTGGTTTTATACACAAAATCACAACCTCTAATATAGCTACTTTACAAGCACACATATTCAGGATGTTACTTTTCAGTTGTCCCCAAGTGATGTTTTGCAGTTATTTGTTCTTTCTCTTCCTCTATCTCATTCTGCTTGGGGTAATCACGGTCAGCTCCTGTAGCTGAGGCATCAGGTTTATCCATTCGTCTGTCCAGCTCATGGCAGGGCTTCACAAACTTTGCACAGTCGCCATGGACCTGTAGGCAGGAGGGCACAAATATACCCCCTCCCCCAGGTTATCAGTTCTTCAGAAATAGACAGGTTAGACAGGTTAAAGTTAAATGTAACATCATTACTCTCTCTCTCCCCCCCTTTTTTTGAGTCCCTGCAAAAGCCGTCATTACTCCCACTACAGTCCCACGTACAGAATGTGGCACAAGGACCCTGTGGAGACTAACAGCAAACCAGCTCCTAGAAGCATCATTGCAGTGCGAGGTGGCAGGCTCAACCTTAGCGGGCGTCCCCGCAGAGGCTCTGCCTCCCCCACATCGTATGAGGCTTGGGCTTTTATACTAACCAAAATGCACACTCATTCTGACACCGGTGGCCAGCCTGTGCTGGAAGAAGTGGCCAGCAGTATCTAGAGAGGTCTCCAAGGGTTGATAGAAACCTGGACGTACTTATATTTACCAACTTCTAGTACATGAGTATCACAGAGAAACTGTATGGGCTCCCCCTGTCAATTGCAAGAAAAAATCATAACATATACAGCTTGAGTATAAGAGGATTTTAACGCATATGTGGTCACTGTCAGGCCTCCTTAACTATTTTGAGATCAAGAGCTTCCCACTCTTTAGCCCCCTGCTGTGTAGTAAACACAGGATATGCAGAAATGCCCATTGCAGAAAATTCCCCAGTAATGATCACATCTTTGGTTACCCATTGTTACAACTGAGCGTCTCCAGGGCCAGCAAGTCCGAGCAGACCGACCCGGGAGACGAAGAGTCAGGGTCTGGAAGCAGAGGATATAAATCTGGCTCGGATTCAGGGGATTCGGGGGCTGATCCTGCGCCGAACTCGGGGTCTCCGTTGCTCGCAGCTGTGTCTTTCTTATCAGATGTATCTCGTTCGGTATGTAGCCATCTGCAGACCTGGCTCCTCCGTGACTGAGTTAAAAGTTTTTTCACTCTAAGGCGTAGTGGGTTGGAGAGGCTCGCGGTTCCTTTAAATCTCCCGCTCGCGCATGATCCCTATTTTTTACTGCGTGCTTCACAGTGGCGCCGCAATCGATCCGGCGCCGAGGCACCGCCCTCTTTCTTTCGGATTCCTCGACATTTATCATACGTATCCCTTCTAATATACTGTCTCTGTCCTTTTCAAAGTCCCTACTTTGGGAACTGGGGTGGTGGGGGAGCAGGGGGTTACACCTCCTCCGCGGCACCTTCTGATGGAGGGGGAGAAAAGGAAGGGGGGGGGGGGGGTGGGAAACCCTGTGCTCCCGCGAGTTGGGGGGGGGGGGGGGGAACGAGTTGTAATCTTCCCCCGGTTTCAACCGACCGGGGACGTCTGTTCCTAGTTTCTCCGTTGCTACCGCGGCAGTTTTCTTTTCTGCCTTGTATCTTTTTATACAGTTCATTACTTCCCTCCGTGGTTTACCGAGTTTGCCTTTTTATAATCATTAAGCACAGAGTCAAATAGTTCATCACCAAACTTTTGCCACTCACTCTTCTCAAATATTGTATTAGGATCTGCAAAAAAAATCTCTTAGCCTTCCCTACAGGCAGTAGACCTGCTAGCTGCTTTAGAGTCTCAGGCTCAATTCCCCGCTTTTATAAAAAGCACTGTAAAAAGTTCAGGGCTCAGTTCCCCGCTTTTATAAAAAGCACTGTAAAAGTTCAAGGCTCAGTTCCCCGCTTTTATAAAAAGCACTGTAATAAGTCCAGGGCTACCTCTCGGTCCATTTTCATGGCCAGCCTTTTCCGGATCGTCTTCTTCTGGGTTGTCCTGTAACCTCGGTCTCCGGATCGGCCTCCCGACGCAGCAGTGTCTGGTTCACCCCAGCGGCGGACTTTTTTGGCTAATCGCAGCACCCGGGTCCGTCACGCCACCGCAGCAGCACTGCCCGCGCTGCCCGGCCGCTGCCGCCGGCGCCGCTCTCTCGCCGTTCCGGGTCCCCGTCGACCGGGGCCCTGTATCCGGGTCCCCGTTAAACCGGGTCCCTGTATCCCGGGTCCCCGTTACACCGGGTCCCTGTATCCCGGGTCCCTGTCGGCCGGGGCCCTTTATCCGGGTCCCCGTCGACCGGGGCCCTGTATCCCGGGTCCCTGCTAGTCGGAGCCCTATAATCCGGGTCCCCAGCGACCAGGGCCCTGTAATCCGCGTCCCTGTTCGGGCGCCATTTGTAAGCGGCGAGGAGAAGCAGACAGGCCAACCCAATATGGGTGATAAGCAACTTCTAGCTTATTTGTGACGCAGTTCACACATATATAGGAGTGGTATCCAGCCACTCCTTCTTGGCATAACAGTATTGGTTAGCCCCCACAGCTTCCTCCACATTCTCCTCCCAGGTCCGGTCTCCGGCCACCTGTGGGGGCCACCCCCTGCCTTGCTTGCACAGTCCTCCAGAACTCTATGGTTCTGCTCTTAGAGTCATTCTGCAACATCGATCCTCCTCCCCGTTCCTCCGGGAGCGGGGAAGGGGAGAGCCCCGGTGGGGGGGGAGGTGGGAGGCGGGGGGGGGCCTCGGTTGCTGTCAGCCCGGCACCACACACTGGGAGTGAGTGAACAAGTTGCCTGGCTGGGTTTAAACCACGACAGTTCTTTTTGGCGCCCAACGTGGGGCACGAGGGGTTGAGATAAGAACAGATCTGACTGGATTGATAGTCACTCGTCACAATGCTGATTTATTGGCTCTCAAGGTTGTTCCTCTTGATCTCACAATTTCAGTATATC